AAAAACAGGTAAACAGCCTCTAAATACTTTTCTGTTTGTGATTTGAAAATTATGACAACTGAGCAATGTAAAATATAAATATTTAGAAAAAGTCAGGGAAGGAGCAGGATGTTGCAGTTTATTTTGGCAGTTTAATTTGCCCTGCCTACTAGGAGACCTGTTGCTAGTCTCTCTGCTGGTCTCTCTGTTTGTCAGTGCTTGCTGGGCTGGGGAATATAACTTTTATCATTGTACCCCAGAGTGGCACTGGGGGAATAGAGTGGTCTGTGAGTACAGTGTGAATTAGGGCTTGCAGATACGTGCTTGTGTCACTAATGCCGGCCAAACTGTGGGAGCGGGGCTTGATGTGGGGCTTGCTGGCAGGCTTGGCACACGCAGGGATAGAGAACTAAAAATAATAGGAAGAAAGGATTGTCATGGAACAAATAAAAATAGTTTAGCATTGTTGTTTATTTTATTCAGCCCACCATTACAGATGTTTTAAATAAAATACAAATGAAGAATAAAGAACAAATGAAGTGAGTGATTGATAGAGATAAAGAGATGAAATGGAGTGGGCTGATTTGGAGTATCACAGTTTGGAGTGCTCTCAGCACTGTCGGTGCAGTTTGGAGTGCTCTCAGCACTGTCGGTGCAGTTTTCAGCACTCTCAGCACTGTCGGTGCACTCCTCCTCTCCTCATCCGGCTTGTTTTCTCATCCTCTCTATCATCTTTAGTTGCTCCACTCCTCTCCTCCCTAATGTCTCCCCATGCATTCTGCTCATCAGCAGCCCCAGGATAAATATCTCACATCTCAGGGGGACAGGGTGGATTGAGGAGAGGGAAACAGGGGAAGCAGAGAGAAACGGAGAAAGAGATGGAAGAAGGAGAGAGAAACAGAGGGAGCAGAAGGAAATAGAGGGAGGAGAGGAAAACAGAGAGAGAAGATGAAGTTGAGAGATGGAGGAGAGAGGAACAGCAGGTGGAGAGAGATATTGAAGGGGGAATAGTTAAAAACAGGAAGGACAGGGAAATACATGTAGGAAAAAGAAGAACGAGATTGAGATGGAGGGAGGAGAGAAATTGAGGAAGATAAAAACCAAGCACTAAGGGAATTACTTAGTGGGTTATAGGTGGAACATTGAGAGTGTGATCCATCAAACTCATCTCTACAGGCTGCCTGCTGCATATGAATTAAGAGTCTACCTAAGTAACATAATAAAAACCTCCCCATCAAAATCTGTCAGTTTAAGATAGAGATATCATGCTTGGGCTGCATCTCAATCCACTGCATCCGCCAATGTCGGCCATCAACATCTGCAGTGGAAGGTGGCTGAGCTACAGCGATATTTGTCAGACGATGAGACATCCCAAAAATTGGTCTTCTCACGAAAATGTCTGTAACGTCCTACAAACTAATATGACCACTCTATGGAAAGATGAGACTCTCATGAACACGATGCTCTACGACCCCCACAAGTGTCACAGGATTAATCTGAAGTCGGTAACGCTGATGTGCCAACTTCTGTCTGTAGCATCCAAACTGTTTGGACTCTCACGAACATGATCGTGTTCTCCGTTTTGCTCTACGACCCCCACAAGTGTCACAGACTCATCTGAATGTAACCCATACAAATGAATGGCAGTATGGAGGTAGTTTTGATCCAGCAAAAATAAGGGATGAAATATGTGTCCACAAAAACAAAAATATTTCCTGAGCTTTCTTATATCTTCTAGATATAGGACAGACACTTCAAAACCTTATTCCTTATGATTTATTTTGGGACTTTTTTGTTGTTTTTGGCATTTATGAGTGTGTTATTCAATGCGTTTCTATGGGCTATAGTAGTAAAGGCCAAATTCAATATTTTATCAAATCATTTTTAAATATATATATATTTTTATACCTAAAGGATTCCTAAAATTCAAAATCAATAGCTAAATGATTCATGGTATGACCATCTGTTAGCTTAGTATCCTTCTGAAAATAGTTGTCTAGCAATGATCAACAACCAATTTGACAGAGCTTGAAGAATTTAGAAAAGAATAATGGGAAAATGTTGCACAATCCAAGTGTGGAAAGCTCAGAGACATATCCAGAAAGACTCACAGCTGTAATTGCTTCCAAAGGTGCTTCTACAAAGTGTTGAATACTTATGTAAATGAGATATTTCTGTATTTCATTTTCAATAAATTTGAAAACAATTCTAAAAACATATTTTCACTTTTTCATTATGGGGTATTCTGTGTAGATGGGTGAGAAAGAACATCTATTAAATTCATTTCAGGCTGTAACACAACTAAATGTGGAATAAGTCAATACGTTCTGAAGGTACTATAGATATTGAAGTGATGGGATATCCCATGTATTTTAAGGTGCACATTTCTAATGCACGTTATTCTTTCTATGTAATATCTTAGTCTGATTTGATTGATAATCCAAAGAAGTTGTAACAGTTATCAGAATGGGAAACAATTATTGTTATCTGATCAAAGGAGGATGTTTTCATTATTAATAATGATGATGAGGATTATCTGTTGATGTACATGTGGGTGGTTGTGACATGGCACTTTTCAGATATAGTTCCAGACAGACAGACAGACAGGCAGGAACATGCGCTCGACACACGCATGCACAGAAACACAGAAACAGAAATACACAGACAGTCAGAAGGCAGCGTTCTCTGCCTGTTTCACTGTCTGTTTTCTGGATCCTGGCATCCACTCACACACTCTTTATCACTGTCACCTAGCCCTAGTCCCCCTTAGGCAACAGAAAAATGGGCATACAGCTGTCACTGTCAAGCGCATAGCATCTGTGTATTCTCAATGGTTGGCAGCTGACAGGTGTTTTACGCTGGGTTGATGCATTGGGCTACAGGATGTTTGTCTGAAGTTTTTTTCCTTGGATGTTTTAATGGCTATACGTTGTTGTATGTGGGTATTTTAGATTAGCTGTGTGTGTTGTGCAAATGATAACTATTTGAACACCACCTGCCATCGTTGGCCATTTCCTTAATGTATCTTGAGTCGCCATTCCTCCCTTATAAAAATGCCCATTATTTAAAAATATTGAGTTCCAAGCCTCAGATTTTGGTGACTGGGAACCCCTGGGAGCAACAGTTTAACTCAATCGCCACCAGGACCTTCACCTCTCACTGTTACAGGAGAGATTATTTGATTGGAGAGGGTGAAGGAGAGGAGAGGAGGTGTGTTTTTTCTCCTCTCACTCATCTGTTAGAGGCTGATATAGACAGCTGCATTCAACCTGTTCTGTTCTGTCAAGGCTGTAACAAGCTGATGTACGTACAGCTGCATCCAGCCTGTCTCCTTCAGCCGCGAGAGAGCTCTCATCGCGGAAGACGAGAGGTGAGGAGAGAGAGAGGGCAGAAGAGGAGAAGAGCGGAGAGCTCACCCGGAGAGTCGAGAGCGCTAGAGAGGAGAATAGAGAGAGATAAGAGGAGAGAGGGAGAGAGAGACTAGGAGAGAGCGAAGCAGACAGTAGAGAGGAGAGAGAGAGCAGAATAATTCCTCGGATGTATAGCTTTTCTTTTGTATCATCGTATCTATCTCTTCTCTCTCTCTCTTCTTCTCTATCTCTCTCTTCTTCTTCTCTTTCTTCTCTCTCTCCTCTCTATCTGCTCTTCTCTCCTCTTCCGTACCGGTGGTGTGTAAAAAGCCCTTGCTGTGTTATCGGTGAGGGCGACAGAGCAGGTTACGGCTCCATTCTACCCAGCCATGCGATAATTACAGCATATTAAGAAGAGGAAGAAAGGATTGCCATGGAACAAAGACAAATAGTTTAGCATTGTTGTTTATTTTATTCAGCCCACCATTAGAGTTGTCCTTCTTCTCAGACAAATGTGAGATTTTTGAATAGTTTTGAATAAAATACAAATAAAGAATAAACACAAATGAAGTGAGTGATTGATAGGTTACCTCAGTCACCACTGGGACCTTCACCTCTACCTCTCACTGTTACAGGAGAGATCATTTGATTGGAGAGGGTGAAGGAGAGGAAAGGAGGTGTGTTTTTTCTCCTCCTCTCACTCGTCTGTTAGATGCTGATAAAGACAGCTGCATTCAGACCTGTTCTGTTCTGTTCAAGGCTGTATATCACAGCTGCTGTACTCCAGTAGACAGAACATCTCTCTCTCTCTCTCTCTCTCTCTCTCTCTCTCTCTCTCTCTCCCTCCCGCTCTCTCTCTCTCTCTGTTTCTCTTTCTCTCCGCTCTACCGGTGGTGTGTAAATAGTCCTTGCTGTGTTATCAGTGAGAGAGAGAGAGCAGGCTACAGCTCCATTCTACCCAGCCATGCAGTAATTACAGCATATTATGCACCCTTCACAGAATCCCCCCCAACAAATAAAAAAAGTATAATGGATTAACCCATAAATAAATTGGGAGCGAAATGCCAAAAGGAGGTGTGGAGCGGAGTGTGAGGGTGGAGAAAGGGTTTGGATCAAAAAGCTCATTCCCAAATATTTTTAGTAGATGAGAGTCTAGCTAAGTCCCTGTGGAGTGATTTCTTGTACACCCTTATGTGAGGTATACTTTCTGGCACCAAATGTTATGTACAGGTTGTCATGTCACTGTTACATGAGCTAAGAGGACAATATTATTTTTCAAATTTTGTAAAGTACAGTATTGGCTTCAAAGAGGTGTAAATGTCATTATGATTGTTATGTGTTGATGAATATTGTTATATCACTGTGGTACAAGCCATCTGGGCTGTGAATATAGCAAGCTCACTGTGGTCTAAGCGTGAACATTCTGGCTCGGCTGATTACATGATTATATTCATAATTTCCAACCTCAGATGGAAGTTCTACACCATTCTATTTCCTGTTTTAATTTCATGACATCACGCCAAATATTAAAGATCAATTTAAAAGGTTTTAAAGTTCCCTTTTTTTGTCTTTTCTCTTTAATTTCTATCAAGTCTTATCATAGTGATTCTAGTGGAAGCCGTCCATAGATATCCTGTTGATATGGTCTATGTCTGTGTTCTCTCCACAGCTCTCATCTTGCTCTACGATGTCACCAACAAGGCCTCCTTTGACAACATCAAGGTAAGACTCAGTCCTGTGTCAGTCCTGTCTGTGGGGCTCATCAACTTTTAACACTGCATAAAGGCTTTTATTTTCTTAATCTTTCCATCTCCTTCCCCCCGCCTCTATATATCTGGCATTGTCTAACCAGGGTCATCCCTCCATTCTCTTCATTTCCTTCATTTCTCTTTCATTGACATCTATGTCCACCTTGTCCCTCCGTTTCTCCATTACTGTCTAACCTACTCCATCCCTTCCTTCTCTCTCCATTTCTGCCTCATCTAAACGCCACTCTGTGTCTTTCTCCCTCTATTTCTTTCCATCTGTTTGATTTGAGGTCACTTGTTAAGCTGTTACAGTAAGTTGTGTAGAAGAACATTATAATAGCTCTGTCTTGTTTTGCATTTTACAATTTTGAAATAGAGCCCATGGTGAGGTCAGAGATGGTTCTGATGATGATGGTGATAATAATGGTGATGGTCATGGTCGTGGTGATGATGATGATGATGGTGGTGGGAGTGTGTAGGTGTAAATCCCAGGTAGTTGTTTTCCAAAATGGTGGAACAGATCAGTCGTGACACAAAATGGTGTCATCTCTCTGCTGTTACAGGCTGCTCTCTAACGAGACTGTGAATTTGAGGCCATTTCGACTCCATTTGGTGTACCCTCATCTTTTCATCCCCTCAGTCTTCTCCACAGATGTATTACATTCTTTTGATAAACAGTAAAGGACGAAAAGTCTTGGCGACAGGGTGTTTAAACATGGGCTATTAAATGGCTTCAAATGGCGTGTAGTCATCAAAGAGAGAGGCTATGTCGCGTAGCTGCAGACCCACCTGTTTCCACTGTTGTAACTGCAGCTGGTTCTCCTGTAATTAATACAGGATAATACAGGAGATACATAGGTCCTTAGGGAAGCAGAGACAGTGTGGATACTCTCACTTACTTTCACTTATTTTGATCAACAGCACAGGTGATCTTACTCTCACGTAAGGGACAGTTAGAAAATTACTGGGGGGGAGGGGGTCCAAAATAGGAGAGGGGGGTGTAACTTAGTTTTTTTGCTTTGGAGAGGGTTGTGTGGATTTTTATTGGGCACAGGGGAGGGTAGTGCATTGTTCCCTGGTTTACATTAGCTGTTTTGCAGGTTTTCCTATATATACTGAACAAAAATATAAATGCAACATGTAAAGTGTTGGTCCCATTTTCCATGAGTTGAAATAAAAGATCCCAGAAATGTTCCATACGCACAAAAAGCGTATTTCTCTCAAATGTTAAGCACAAATTTGTTTACATCCCTGTTAGTGAGAATTTCTCCTTTGCCAAGATAATCCATCCACCTGATAGGTGTGACATATCAAGAAGCTGATTAAACAGCATGATCATAACACAAGTGCAGCTTATGCTGGGGACAATAAAAGGCCATTCTAAAATGTGCAGTTTTGTCACACAACACAATGCCACAGATGTCTCAAGTTTTGAGGGAGCGTGCAATTGGCATGCTGACTGCAGGAATGTCCAACAGAGCTGTTGCCAGAGAATTGAATGTTCACTTGGGGGGGTCTGTCTGTCTGTAATAAAGCCCTTTTATGGGGAAAAACTCATTCTGATTGGCTGGGCCTGGCTACCCAGTGGGTGGATCTGGCTCCCAAGTGGGTGGGCCTATGCCCTTCCAGGCCCACCAATGGCTGCGCCCCAGGCCAGTCATTTCAAATCCAGAGATTAGGGCCTACTTAATTTATTTCAATTGAATGATTTCCTTCTATGCACTGTAACTCAGTAAAATATTTGAAATTGTTGCATGTTGCGTTTATAATTTTGTTCTGTATAATTTATTATATCCTAGTCAACTTTCCCCATCTGCATGCATGTGCCTCCCCTATCAAGGGGTTTTGATACTTTCTTTATACACTAGCCTACGCCACATTACCCACATTGCCGCCGATGGCTCCGGGCTCATATTCGTCACACTTGCACCTTTGATATTCGCCTCTCCAAAAACCATGAAATAACATGTTTTGTTGCCCATGATGAGGCTTTTTATCAGCTATTGACAATAAGCCAGATTCAAGTAACTTCCATGACAGCTTTGGGGTGCTGAAACGTGAAGTGTCAGCCGCGGCACAATCAGTCGGGAGGTGGACAGTACATGGGGCTGAAATTAGGCTAATTCAAGTTATTTATTTCAACAGTCTTCATTTTAATTTGAAAGAAACTAATAACAAGAAGGCTTTGTGTTGTAGCATATTTATTCCTATCACCTCCTTCCTATAGGCCAAATTTAAACTGTTGTACAAGAACACTGTCCATATCAGATTTTGCATATCGTTTATGAGTTAGCCCCACATATTTATGAACGGCTGAGCCTGATGTCTTTTGTAGTAAGCTATCTCATGAATTGATATAATGTATCCAAGTGAGTAGACACCTAAGACAATTGATTCATAAATGATTCACGCCTGATGCCCTCAATTGCCCTTCGTGCCCATTCCCATACCCTATAATTCTGTATTTCTTTGTGACTAACTTGTATGCAGGTAGAACAGAGAAGCCACATCCCTGATTGGCAGATGAGTGGCAACCTTGATTAGAAGCACCTGCTGCTCATCGATTGCTCACCTGTGTTCCCTACAAATGCTGTTTTGAATGAAAAAGATTTGTACCTACACCCTGAAGAAGGCTGCAAAGCTAATGCAGTTAAAATAATAATAAAATGAAGTAAGCTTTATGCAACATATTTTTGAATTCACAGGTTTTACGCACCAGCCAAGCTTCTGGGAGAGCTCGATGGTCCCCTTTTGATTAGAAATAAGAGGTAGACCTACCTGTTTGACAGACAAAATTATAGGCTATCCATAGATTTGTCAATTCCTCCAATAGTGTCAACATTCCTCAAATACCTCTGGGTCCGTGAAGTACAAGGGAAGGGTCATGCTAAAAAAAAAAATAGTTGGGGAGGGGGGTGCATTTTTAAAAACTACATTTCGAGTTGGACCCCCTCTTCCCCCAGTAATTTTCAAACAGTCCCTAAACAGTTGCCGTTGATAATGACAGTAATAATGGATGGGTATTTATAAAGCACATTGCACCAGATCTTGTAAGGGGGGAACGCATTGCATCCACCTCAAATGTGTAGCACTCATTTAAGAGTTCAGTATTACTATGAAATTCAAATTGTTCATCTATCATATATCTCTATATTTTTCTATACAAATCAATGCGATATACATGAGTTATATATTTAAAAAAATATTTCACTGTAAACTCCCTCCTCCTTCTCATTCATATACCATATCTCAGTATCATATTTCTGTTTATTACCTATCCGTTCGTGCTGCAGAACACAGAATGATGAAATAAACTATTCCCATTTGAGTTTGGTGGATCCCTGCCTGCTTATCCTTTCTATGCATAATGTACGCATGACAGCCCATCTACAGTGTATTCGGAATGTATTCAGACCCCTTCCCCTTTTCCACATTTTGTTATGTTACAGCCTTATTCTAAAATTGATTAAATTAATTATTTTCCTCATCAATCTACACACAATACCCCATAAAGACAAAGCGAAAACAGGTTTTTAGACATTTTTGCAAATTTATAAAAAATGTAAAGCAAATATACTTTATTTACATAAATATTCAGACCCTTTGCTATGAGACTCAAAATTGAGCTCAGGTGCATCCTGTTTCCATTGATCATCCTTGAGATGTTCCTACAATTTCCACCTGTGGTAAATTCAATTGATTGGATATGATTTGGAAAGACAAACCTGTCTATATAAGGTCCCACAGTTGACAGTGCATGTCAGAGCAAAAACCAAGCCATGAGGTCAAAGGAATTGTCCGTAGAGCTCCGAGACAGGATTGTGTCGTGAGAGGATCTGAAGACAATGGGAGAAACTCCCCAAATACAGGTGTGCCAAGCTTGTAGTGTCATACCAAATAAGAATTGAGGTCTGTAATCGCTGGCAAAGGTGCTTCAACAAAGTACTGTGATTTGTTTTTTCCGTTTTTTTTTAAATATATAGATTCGCTAACATTTCTAAAAACCAGTTTTTGCTTTGTCATTATGGGGTATTGTGTGTAGATTGATGAGGGAAAAAAACAAGTATGGAAAAAGTCAAGGGGTCTGAATACTTTCCGAATGCTCTGTCCATCCACAACATGGAGATTCACCCACATACTGGAGCATAGTGCATGACAGCTTTATCATTATAAGCAGGTGCTGTTTAGCGCTTCAGGGGCAGGTGCATTGAGAGAGACAGGGGGTGGGAGGTTTTTACGTACATCCAAACTTTTCACAGGAGCTGGGAACATCCACTCACCATTATACTGCTCCCTAGTATACTGTTTTATAAATTGTTTTGCATGCAAGCCATGGACATTCTCACCATAAAGCCAAGGACGGTGAACCATTCTAATAAGTTTGGTTTTTAATCAAATTAAATGGAAAACAAGCAATTGTTACAGGAAAATCATTTAAATGTTTCTAATTTAAATGTTTCTAAATACGAGGGGAATCTTATCTCTCGTTGGGCACATGGACACATGGATGGGGGTTTTATGCACGTCCAAAATAATAACGGGAGCTGGCTAAAATAATGATAAAAAGGGGATGTTCACTGTTGCTGCTCCCAAACCTGATCTTTTAATAAAGCTTTGGTGATTAATATTTATTTCAAAGCAGTCTCACAAGCCAAACCCTTTATTGATATGCTGCTATTTGGCGAATGCATTGGGCAGGACAAAATAATATAGCCTTCATTGAAGGGAGGGTTTGTTTTTAATCAAATGATGCAAAAAACAAGCAATTTGTTTAAAGAAAACAACAACAATATTTCTAATTATGATGGGGTCAGAAGTATGACACTGTATCACAAATAACGTCTCTCGTGCACACATAGGCCTGAATGTCTTTACGCGTAACATTTGCACGTGTCTACAAAATACTACGCTCTTGTCAATTGTATCGTTGCTTACGTGCGAGGCAGATTTAAAAAAGAATCTGCTGTTGATATGGAATTATAGGAGGACTGAAAACTTTGGAGGAGCGAGTGCATCTTTAGTAATCGGACGAGGGGCGCTCTTTGAAAATGGGGATGGAGAGCCTACAAGTGAAAATGAAGTATGTGAATTGTGAATCATGACAAAGCCTACAGTGGGGAAAGAAAGTATTTAGTCAGCCACCAATTGTGCAAGTTCTCCCACTTAAAATGATGAGAGAGGCCTGTAATTTTCATCACAGGTACAGGTCAACTATGACAGACAAAATTAGGAAAAAAAATCCAGAAAATCACGTTGTAGGATTTTTTATGAATTTATTTGCATATTATGGTGGAAAATAAGTATTTGGTCAATTACAAAAGTTTCTCAATACTTTGATATATACCCTTTGTTGGCAATGACACAGGTCAAACATTTTCTGTAAGTCTTCACAAGGTTTTCACACACTGTTGCTGGTATTTTGGCCCATTCCTCTGGTTTGGGGCTGTCGCTGGGCAACACGGACTTTCAACTCCCTCCAAAGATTTTCTATGGGGTTGAGATCTGGAGACTGGCTAGGCCACTCCAGGACCTTGAAATGCTTCTTACGAAGCCACTCCTTCGTTGCCTGGGCGGTGTGTTTGGGATCATATTGTCATGCTGAAAGACCCAGCCACGTTTCATCTTCAATGCCCTTGCTGATGGAAGGAGGTTTTCACTCAAAATCTCACGATACATGGCCCCATTCATTCTTTCCTTTACACGGATCAGTCGTCCTGGTCCCTTTGCAGAATAACAGCCCCAAAGCATGATGTTTCCACCCCCATGCTTCACAGTAGGTATGGTGTTCTTTGGATGCAACTCAGCATTCTTTGTCGATGAGTTGAGTTTTTACCAAAAAGTTATATTTTGGTTTCATCTGACCATATGACATTCTCCCAATCCTCTTCTGGATCATCCAAATGCACTCTAGCAAACTTCAGACGGGCCTGGACATGTACTGGCTTAAGCAGGGGGACACGTCTGGCACTGCAGGATTTGAGTCCCTGGCGGCGTAGTGTGTTACTGATGGTAGGCTTTGTTACTTTGGTCCCAGCTCTCTGCAGGTCATTCACTAGGTCCCCCCGTGTGGTTCTGGGATTTTTGCTCACCGTTCTTGTGATCATTTTGACCCCACGGGGTGAGATCTTGCGTGGAGCCCCAGATCGAGGGAGATTATCAGTGGTCTTGTATGTCTTCCATTTCCTAATAATTGCTCCCACAGTTTATTTCTTCAAACCAAGCTGCTTACCTATTGCAGATTCAGTCTTCCCAGCCTGGTGCAGGTCTACAATTTTGTTTCTGGTGTCCTTTGACAGCTCTTTGGTCTTGGCCATAGTGGAGTTTGGAGTGTGACTGTTTGAGGTTGTGGACAGGTGTCTTTTATACTGATAACAAGTTCAAACAGGTGCCATTAATACAGGTAATGAGTGGAGGACAGAGGAGCCTCTTAAAGAAGAAGTTACAGGTCTGTGAGAGCCAGAAATCTTGCTTGTTTGTAGGTGACCAAATACTTATTTTCCACCATAATTTGCAAATAAATTCATAAAAAATCATACAATGTGATTTTCTGGATTTTTTTTTCTCAATTTGTCTGTCATAGTTGACGTGTACCTATGATGAAAATTACAGGCCTCTCTCATCTTTTTAAGTGGGAGAACTTGAACAATTGGTGGCTGACTAAATACTTTTTTCCCCCACTGTATATGCAAAAAACTCAAATATTTCAAGGCACTCTCAGAAGACCATTTAAAACCACTTTATTCATAGTGCTACTTGGCTAACGCATGGCCGGGATAAAAATATGCACCTATGCGAAGCTTCTAAACCAGCCTTGATTAAGGGGAGGGTAAACTATGCTTGGTTTTGAATAATAATAAAAAAAATAGGGGAAACCAATCTTATTTGAAATGTTTCTAAATATGAGATCCACCGGCACAAAAGGCACATGTCTCATTCCATTGGCACTGTGTATCATGTCTGGGTAGGCTGGGCATATGCTCTCAAAATCCATGCCGTTATCAACTGCATTACCATTAAGACCTGCTTTTTGTGGGTCTTAAAACTTCTCATTAACGCTGCATGAAATTGTCACTTTTCTGCTTGTTTTTAAGAACACACCTCAGATATTGCCATTCCTCCCACCTCATTTTACAAGCTAGCTGATGTTAGACAGGTAAATTACCGAACCTGGAGTAAGGGCTGGAAAATGCCAGTGTGCCAGTTTTTACATGATGAAATTGCAAACTAATGTGCGTTTGACACTTGCGCCTCCTTAGCGCCAGCTGAAATTTAGCTTAGACACTTAATGCAGCTGGGTCATGGTACATTTACAAAGTCCCAGGTTTGGATGTTTCCCTTTGGGTCAGTCAACAGAAAAGCTTTCACCATCCTACACAAGCATTCATATACAGGTAACTGCAAAAATAACTGAAACATGAGTAAATGTAAATGAGGGATACAAAATATATTGAAAGCAGGTGCTTCCACACAGGTGTGGGTTCTGAGTTAATTAAGACATTAACATCCCATCATGCTTAGGGACATGTATAAAAATGCTCAGCAGGCCATTATTTTGGACATTATTTTGGCTACAATGGCCATGCCCCATAGGATGACAATACCCCCATTCACAGGGCACAAGTGGTCACTGAATGGTTTGATGGGCATGAAAAATATGTAATCTATATGCCATCTCAATCACCAGACCTCAACCCAAATGAACACATGGAAGATTCTGGAGTAGCGCCTGAGACAGCGTTTTCCACCACCATTAACTAAACACCAAATTAAATAATTTATTGTGGAAGAATGGTGTTGCATCTCCCCAATAGAGTTCCAGAGACTTTTAGAATCTATGCCAAGGTGCATTGAAGCTATTCAAATCAAAATCAAATTGTATTTCTGTGTGCGTATGTAGTGAATGTGTGTGAGTTTTGTGTGAGAGTGTCAGTGTAGTGTGTGTGTAAGTGTTTATATAGTGTGTACAGTGCATTCGGAATGAATTCAGACCCCTTGACTGATGTTACAGCCTTATTCTAAAATGTATTACATTGTTTTCCTCATCAATCTACACCCAATACCCCATAATGACATAGCAAAAACTGTTTTTTAGAAATTTTAGCAAATGTATATATAAAAAAGAAAAACTGAAATATGACATTTACATAAGTTTTCAGACCCTTTACTCAGTACTTTGTTGAAGCACCTTTGGCAGCGATTACAGCCTCAAGTCTATTATGCTACAAGCTTGGCACACCTGTATTTGGGGAGTTTCTCCTATTCTTCTCTGCAGATCCTCTCAAGCTCTGTCAGGTTGGATGGGGAGCGTTGCTGCACAGCTATTTTCAGGTCTCTCCAGAGATGTTCGATCAGGTACAAGTCCAGGCTCTGGCTGGGCCACTCAAGGACATTCAGAGAGTTGTCCCGAAGCCACTCCTGCGTTGTCTTGGCTGTGTGCTTAGGGTTGTTGTCCTGTTGGAAGGTGAACCTTCTCGCCAGTCTGAGGTCCTGGAGCATCAAGGATCACTCTGTACTTTGCTCCGTTCATCTTTCCCTCTATCCTGACTAGTCTCCCAGTCCCTGTCGCTGAAAAACATCCCCACAGCCAGATTTCCTCCAGACGTGATGCCAGGCATTCAAGCTAAAGAGTTCAATCTTGGTTTCATCAGACCAGAGAATCGTGTTTCTCATGGTCTGAGAGTCCTTTAGGTGACTTTTGGCAAACTCCAAGCGGACTGTCATGTGCCTTTTACTGAGGAGTGGCCTCTGTCTGGCCGCTCTACCATAAAGCGCTGATTGGTGGAGTGCTGCAGAGATGCTTGTCCTTCTGGAAGGTTCTCCCATCTCCACAGAGGAGTTTGAATTTACCACAGGTGGACTCCAATGAAGTTGTAGAAACAGCTCAAGGATGATCAATGGAAGCAGGATGCACCTGAGCTCAATTTCGATTCTCATAGCAAAGGGTCTGAATACTTATGTAAATAAGGTATTTCTGTTTTTTCTAAAATATCTAAAAACCCTATTTTGCTTCATGCATTATGGGGTATTGTGTGTAGATTGAGGAGGGAAATGTTTTATTTATTCAATTTTAGAATACTGCTGTAACAGAACAAAATGTGGAAAAAGGGAAAGGGTCTGTATATACAGTATAGAGTCAGTGCAAGATAGATTCAGTGCAGATAACACGGGTAACCATTAATTAACTATTTAGCAGTCTTATGGCTATTTAACAGTCTTATGACTTGGGGGTGCAAGCTGTCTCGGAGCCTGTTGGTCCGAGGGGTGATGCTCCGGTACCATTTGCCGGACAGTAGCAGAGCGAACAGTCTATGGTTTGGAGAGGTGGACTATTTGGCAATTTTTCAGGCCTTCCTCTGACACCGCCTGATATAGAGGTCGTTGATGGCAGGGAGTTTGGCCACAGTGATATACTGGGCTGTCCGTACCACCCTCTGTAGCGGTTTGTGGTCGAGAGTGGTGCATTTGCCGCACCAAGTGATGATGCAGCCAGTCAAGATGCTTTCGATGGTGCAGCTGTAGAACTTTTTGAGTATCCGAGGGCCCATGCCAAATCTTTTCAGCCTCCTGAGGGGGAAGAGGCGCTGTCGTGCCCTCTTCACATCTGTGCTGGTGTGTGTGGACCATGTTAAGTCCTTAGTGATGTGGACACCAAGGAACTTTAAGCTCTCGACCCGCTCCACTACAGCCCTGTCGATGTGGATGGGGGCAAGCTCTCCCTTCTTTGTCCTGTAGTCCACCATCAGCTCTTTGGTCTTACTGACGTTGAGGGAGAGGTTGTTGTCATGGCATCACACTGACAAGTCTCTGACCTCTTCCCTGTAGGCTGTCTCATCGTCGTCAGTGATCAGGCCTACCACCGTTGTGTCGTCAGCAAACTTGACGATGGTGTTGGTGTCGTGCGTGGCAACGCAGTCGCAGGTGAACAGGGAGTACAGGAGGGGACTAAGCACACACCCTTGAGGGGACCCGTGTTGAGGATCCGCATGGCGGAGGTGTTGTTGCCTACCCTCACCAACTGGGGCCGTCCTGTCAGGAATTCCAGGATCCAGTTAGAGAGGAAGGTGTTCAATCCCAGGGTCCCCAGCTTGGTGATGAGCTTGGAGGGGACTATGATGTTGAACGCTGAGCTGTAGTCTCTGAACAGCATTCTCACATAGTTATTTCCCATCTTGTCCAGGTGGGAAAGGGCAGTGTGAAGTGCAATTGCGATTGTGTCATCTGTGGATATGTTGGGGTGGTATGCAAATATGGTGGGTCCAGGGTTTCTGGCCCAATGGCCTATTAAGACACTTTATGTTGGTGTTTCCTTATTTTTATACCTGAACATTCTGCAATAGTATGTGCTTTGTATGTAATACACAGGTTTTCTTTGTGTTTGACCCTATTCACAACACTATATCCTTGCGGTGATGTTCAAGCTCAGGTGTTTTGTTCGACAGCATGCATTCCGTTTTTAATTTTCAAGCACTCCACTCTGCAAGGCCATCCCTCCATTCCTCCATCCCTCTCTCATTCTCTCTATCTCTGTTTTCCGTAGAGATGTGGAGGGCCTTGAGTGCTCTGTTAGTTTGAATGGAGAGGTTTGAAGAGAAACCTTGGAGAGATTGTCGGGAGATTTTAGACTAGCTTGATTTGGTTCCCACACATGCAATTTCATGATAGGTTTAATAGAGCTACATGTAGGTTCAATAGAGATACAAATAGTATTTTACACTCAAAATGAAGAGGGGAAAGGAGAGAGACAGGGGTATAAGGAAGAGGAATAGAGAAGAAAGACCTAGACTAAATACATTTACATCATTTAGCAGACGCTCTTATCCAGAGCGACTTACAAATTGGGATGACAGAGAGAAACAAACAGACTACTGAAGACAGATTTAGATTTAGGTGTAAATCATTTCTGAGTTCATAGTTATTATTCAGATGTTAATGTGATACCTGTGCCCTGTGGTGTGTCTAGTCTGAGACTGACACAGAGACTGAGGGCAATAGTGTGGGAAGCCTAGCCCAACAGACTGATTTGAGAACAATTCCCAGCTGAGCGTGTTATTTCCTGCTGGGTAATTTGTTGCCTCTGCTCCCTCTCTTGCAGGCTGATAGGTGATTGTAACAGTGCACACACACAAACACACACACACACACACAAATTAAACACCCACACACACACACACACCAGCTTGCTCCTATTCCAATCAAGGTTTCAGTATTTTTTTCTGTCTAGTAACATTAGTAGGCAGAAATGGTCCAACAGAGCAGCAGAATGAAAAGGTTGTTGTTCAAATTTGATCATAACTGACTGCAAAGGTGGGAGTCATCCTGACAAAGGTACAAATGTCGTTCATCTCATAAAATACCATATGGGAGCATTATTTATTTTCATCTAATATTTTTCAATCTCCGGTTTGGCTGCCCTCTCCCTCTGTAAAGATATCACAGATACAGTATACCAGTCTGATATCAACCGTCTCCCCTGTTGGACTTTTTTGTAGTTCAGAGCTGAGATTCAATCTTCTCCACTGGATCTCACCATCTATCTCTCTCTCTCTCCCTATTATTCTCTCTCAATCATTATTTGCTTCTCTCTCCCTTCCACTCTCTTAACCCTATCTTTGTTAAACCCCTCTTCTGCCCATCACTTTTCTACAACATGTATCAAGGTAGTGTGGAACCCCGTATAATCGGCATATTCAACAGCGTTTAAGAAATATATTACCTTCAAGAGTGTTATCTTGTGATGAAGCCATCAATGTTATATGATTATTGGTGTCGTAAAAATTTTAGCTAATGGGTTAGAAATTAGCATGTTTGACATTTCAGTGGAAATACTATTATCAGCTTTTTGATAAGCGGTTTAGCAAATGAATACGTCCCGTATTATCGGCATACGGTCCCCAGTTATTGGCCACCTTACTATTTTGTTCAAATACAAGATATATCTGTTTAATTTTGTTCAAAAAAGAGACACCAACCATGTACCCGAAGTGTTTACTAGATAGTTGGCTAGCCTTCCGGTAAAAGATAATGACTTGTCTGTCAACTTTTCATTGCGTAGCCCGGTGCCCCTCCTGTGGACTCTTAAAAAATGGTTCTTCACCAACATATTCAGTGTTGTAACCAAATAATGTCTCATAATTTGTTTTACAGATTAATCTTATGTTTTGAGAAAATAGATAACAGTTGAATACTAAAATATGAGTATTAATAATTTACATCAAATAAAACTTTAATTTCAGTTATGTGCATTGACATAAACAATGAAAACACTGTTGGAGTTTGTGTTGCAGAGATGCACTTGGAAAGTAAAGGAAGAAATACACAAGATGGGTTGAAGAAATATATATATTATATTTTAGACATTTATTTTTTTGTGCAAATAAATAATTTAATATGAACACAAACAGAATAAACAATTAAATCTCGACCTCCATCCCTATAGTGTCACAAAAATCACAATAAAAATCCAGCTCCACCGCTACTCTGGATCCCACTGCACACACCTGCAGTGGAACCAGTGGTCACAGAACACCCCATGGCACCTCAGATCTACACTCCTGAGGGGAGCTTGCAAGCGGACCATGCTCCCCGCAGGGAGCACAGCAGGTGGTGTCTTCTTAAAAAAAAATAATAATAATAATAATAAAATTTTATTAATATGGTTTTGCAAAATGTAGAAGTTCTTCAACAACAATAGTAATTGATACAGCTGAGAGAGAGAGAAAAACAGATTATGAAGTACCTGAAAGCGGTGCCATGGGTGGCGTGACAGACATGACCGGTGGAACTTTTCTCTTCCTTTTCTGTGCTGCAGTTTGAGAAAAATTAGTTTTAGACAGAGCATGTTGCATGAAAACCCTTTTCAACTTTTTTACATCAATACCTCTGGAGGAAGCTGCAGAGGTTTTGGAGCAGGTGGAGATGACTTGAGGGCCGGTGCTATGGACTGTAGATATGTAAAGAGAGATTTTTTTTTTTTTTACATTGCTGTTTTATAAAACAGATAACAAACAGTCATTTTTTCGTAATTTAACATGTGTTTACCTGTGGAGGTGGCGGTATTCAAATTGCAGGGGGCAGGGACACCAGACAAGGCTGCTATGGTGGTGTGACCAGGGAAGACGGAGGAGGCAGTTGGTGACAGACAGGGGGGTGGGGTGGTGTGCATTGTGGTGGTGGTGGACAAAACCGCAGACGATGGCTTGGAGGAGCTGATGTTTATAATGGTGGGGTTTAGGGGCCGACAATGGTGTGGCCGGGAGAGTAGGCACGTGGCCTTCTTCTGCAGCTGGGGACTCCGGCGGCTCCTACATGTGTTGCACACTGGGAGGCACTGGCAGTGGTGATGCAGCTGTCAAGAGTGGTTCCAGCAGGGGGTCCAGCAGAGGCGATGGCGTCAATGGTCTCATCCATGGCAGCCCTCTCCTGTACCCTCTGTGTTATGAGGGCTGCCTGACGCTCTTTCTCCTCTGCCTCGGCCCTCTCCTTCTCACGCCTCTCCTGCCACTGGCGCGTGTATTCCTCCCCGGTGAGGCATGTGGCAACCACAGGGAGTCTTCTGTATCGGTCCAGCCGATACTTCAGGAGAGTAAGGATGTGCCCCAGGTCCTTTGCTATCAGCCCCCCCTCTTTTAGGGGGTGCTCTTCTAGAGCTAGGCTGGGACTTGAGCAGGGGCTGGTACTGGAGCAGGGGCTGAGGGTCCTCCTGTGGTCAATGGGGAGGAGGTGCTGATGGACGGCACAGTGCTGCTGGTTCCAGGAGAGGCGGTGATGGGACCCGGTAGGGACCGAGACGGCATTAAACGGGACCCTTCAATGGCTGAAGGGTCAAAAGGGAAGAGGCCACACTTCTTAAACCCTTCTACCACATAGCGCATGTCCTTGCATCGCTGGTACGGGTAGCGGAATACTCTGGCAAATTCTGATTTGTTTACCATGTAGGAGTGATACAAAATGGCTAAGGTCTCCAGCTACCTTGGAGAACTCAGCCTTTAAAGGGCCAAAGTATGCCACGTCCAGCGGCTGCAGGACATGGGTGCAGTGTGGTGGAAGACAAAGAAGTATAACCCCTTCCCTTAGTGCCGCCGCGAGCACCTCCGGGTCCATGTGGCTCTTGTGCCCATCGAAGAGGAGAAGGAGAGGGCGCTCTTTCACTGCATGCTTAATGAAGTGCTGAAACCACTTCCTGAACAGGTCCCCGTCAATGTAGCCACTGCATGACAACGCAAAAACTGGTTTTTAGAACATTTTTGCTATGAGACTCGAAATTGAGCTCTGGTGCATCCTATTTCCATTGATCATCCTTGAGATGTTTCTACAACTCCACCTGTGGTAAATTCAATTGATTGGACATTATTTGGAAAGGCACACACCTGTCTGTATAAGGTCCCACAGTTGACAGTGCATATCAGAGCAAAAACCAAGCCATGAGGTTGAAGGAATTGTCCATAGAGCTTCGAGACAGGATTGTGTCGAAGCACAGATCTGGGGAAGGGTACCAAAATATTACTGCAGCATTGAAGGTCCCCAAGAACACAGGGGCCTCCATCATTCTTAAATGGAAGAGGTTTGGAACCACCAAACCAAGACTCTTCCTAGAGCTGACCACCCGGCCAAACTGAGCAATTGGGGGAGAAGGGCCTTGGTCAGGGAGGTGACCAAGAACCCGATGGTAACTCTGACAGAGCTCCAGAGGATAACGTTCCAGAAGGACAACATCCTCTGCAGCACTCCACCAATCAGGCCTTTATGGTAGAGTGGCCAGACGGAAGCCACTCCTCAATAAAAGGCACACGACAGCCCGCTTGGAGTTTGCCAAAAGGCATCTAAAAGACTCTGATCATGAGAAACAAGATTCTCTGGTCTGGTGAAACCAAGATTGAACTCTTTGACCTGAATGCTAAGTGTCACGTCTGGAGGAAATCTGGCACCATCCCTAAGGTGAAGCATGCTGGTGGCAGCATTACATTTTTACATTTTAGTCATTTAGCAGACGCTCTTATCCAGAGCGACTTTACAGTTAGTGAGTGCATACATTTTTTATTTATTCTTTTCATACTGGCCCCCCGTGGAAATTGAACCCACAACCCAGGCATTGCAAGTGCCATGCTCTAGCAACTGAGTTACACGGGGCCTCATGCTGTGGGGATGTTTTTCAGCGGCAGGGACTGGGAGACTAGTCAGGATCGAGGGAAAGATGAACGGAGTAAAGTACAGAGAGATCCTTGACAAAAACCTGCTCCAGAGCACTCAGGACCTCAGACTGGGGCGAAGGTTCACCTTCCAACAGGACGACCCTAAGCATACAGCCAAGACAACGCAGGAGTGGCTTCGGGACAAGTATCTGAATGTCCTTGAGTGGCCCAGCCAAAGTCCGGACTTGAACCCGATCAAACATCTCTGGAGAGATCTGAAAATAGCTGTGCAAAGATGCGCCCCATCCAACCTGATAGAGCTTGAGAGGATCTGCAGAGAAGAATGGGAGCGTCATACCCAAGAAGACTTGAGGCTGTAATCGCTGCCAAAGGTGCTTCAACCAAGTAGTGAGTAAAATAATACTTATGTAAATGTTCAATGTAATTGTTTAATTTTTAATAAATGTGCAAACATTTCTAAAAACCTGTTTTTGTTTTGATAGATAGATAGGGTTTAGTGTGGTGGACTATGTGTGATGATAGGTAGTGCTTAGTGTGGTATACACATGTTGCAAGGCTCTGTAAGGATATCTGTTACTTTACATAAGAAAATTGAAAAAGACACCAGCAACTCAAGATGCCCAAAGTACCCTAAGTAATAGGAAATGTTTTAGGTGATAAGCTAGACAGTCTCAGAATACTTGTTGCTGAATCTCAAACCGAACACTTGGCCCCTAAGCCCTTTATCGAGTTGACACTTGCTGATGTGTTCGATAGTGATCACTCAAGTCTGCAAGTGTTTTGGCCAAAATGAGCATTGAGACGATGCACACTCGACATCCCAACTGCCACTTATCAAGTCCATTTGCGAGCATTGTCTCCCGCGACATGTCTTGTAGCATGACTCGCTATGAAACATGACAGTGAGAAAGCAAAACAACATGTCCCTACTCCTGCTCACAATACAGTGGGGGAAAAAAGTATTTCGTCAGCCACCAATTGTGCAAGTTCTCCCACTTAAAAAGACGAGAGAGGCCTGTAATTTTCATCATAGGTACACGTCAACTATGACAGACAAAAAGAGATTTTTTTTTCCAGAAAATCACATTGTAGGATTTTTTATGAATTTATTTGCAAATTATGGTGGAAAATAAGTATTTGGTCAATAACAAAAGTTTCTCAATACTTTGTTATATACCCTTTGTTGGCAATGACACAGGTCAAATGTTTTCTGTAAGTCTTCACAAGGTTTTCACACACTGTTGCTGGTATTTTGGCGCATTCCTCCATGCAGATCTCCTCTAGAGCAGTGATGTTTTGGGGCTGTCGCTGGGCAACACGGACTTTCAACTCCCTCCAAAGATTTTCTATGGGGTTGAGATCTGGAGACTGGCTAGGCCACTCCAGGACCTTGAAATGCTTCTTACGAAGCCACTCCTTCGTTGCCCGGGCGGTGTGTTTGGGATCATTGTCATGCTGAAAGACCCAGCCACGTTTCATCTTCAATGCCCTTGCTGATGGAAGGAGGTTTTCACTCAAAATCTCACGATACATGGCCCCATTCATTCTTTCCTTTACACGGATCAGTCGTCCTGGTCCCTTTGCAGAAAAACAGCCCCAAAGCATGATGTTTCCACCCCCATGCTTCACAGTAGGTATGGTGTTCTTTGGATGCAACTCAGCATTCTTTGTCCTCCAAACACGACGAGTTTAGTTTTTACCAAAAAGTTATATTTTGGTTTCATCTGACCATATGACATTCTCCCAATCCTCTTCTGGATCATCCAAATGCACTCTAGCAAACTTCAGACGGGCCTGGACATGTACGGGCTTGAGCAGGGGGACACATCTGGCACTGCAGGATTTGAGTCCCTGGCGGCGGAGTGTGTTACTGATGGTAGGCTTTGTTACTTTGGTCCCAGCTCTCTGCAGGTCATTCACTAGGTCCCCCCGTGTGGTTCTGGGATTTTTGCTCACCGTTCTTGTGATCATTTTGACCCCACGGGGTGAGATCTTGCGTGGAGCCCCAGATCGAGGGAGATTATCAGTGGTCTTGTATGTCTTCCATTTCCTAATAATTGCTCCCACAGTTGATTTCTTTAAACCAAGCTGCTTACCTATTGCAGATTCAGTCTTCCCAGCATGGTGCAGGTCTACAATTTTGTTTCTGGTGTCCTTTGACAGCTCTTTGGTCTTGGCCATAGTGGAGTTTGGAGTGTGACTGTTTGAGGTTGTGGACAGGTGTCTTTTATACTGATAACAAGTTCAAACAGGTGCCATTAATACAGGTAACGAGTGGAGGACAGAGGAGCCTCTTAAAGAAGAAGTTACAGGTCTGTGAAAGCCAGAAATCTTGCTTGTTTGTAGGTGACCAAATACTTATTTTCCACCATAATTTGCAAATAAATTCATAAAAAATCCTACAATGTGATTTTCTGGATTTTTTTCTCTCAATTTGTCTGTCATAGTTGACGTGTACCTATGATGAAAATTACAGGCCTCTCTCATCTTTTTAAGTGGGAGAACTTGCACAATTGGTGGCTGACTAAATCCTTTTTTTCCCCCACTGTATGTGCAAATATATTGATCAGCAGTGATTTTATCAGCTGATTTAGCTTGTTGTAGACTGCCTTCTGCTAGCTAGTGTTAGAAATAGCGTAATTCAAATCTGGTATTGGAATAAGAGAAAACATAATCAAGAGATATTCAATCCAAGCTAAATTTATTATATGCAAAATGTATGTATGATAAGTATGATGGTTCTTATACGGGCTCACTGAAATACCACGCAGGGCAGACAGAGAACTGATCCATTGTTACAGGCTGTTCTTTAAATACCCTGACAGTGATAGTTCCCGCTCCTTGCTGGGCCTATCAGGGTAGAGACTGAGCGTGGTTTAGACTTACTCAGCCTATCCGTTGGCGCACAGGCTGGTCCCAGACCCTTGGCGCTTCACTGTTGCCAGGTGTCTAGTTGTTTTGCAACTTATCCAGAAAGTCAGCACTTTTTGCAGTACACATGTCCTTGAGTATGATGGTTTAACAAAGAGTGTCTGTGAGAAATACAAGTCTGTCTCACCTTACTCCCTAACAGCTCCTTACATGAATCACAGCTTGTTATGTGAAACAATTTATATCAGTACAGTACAAACCTTTTATGTTTAATCATTAATGCATTCTTTCTAAGCTAGTCATCACATCTAGATCCCCACACTAGCTTCCCTGACAAACACAGGGATGGAATTTAAGATAAGGATTTGGGGGCACTGCACTGATAAACAGAGTTTTGCTTGTCACTTATTTATGATAGTTTGACAGCTGCTGATGCAGCTGTTCTCCAGCAGTCAGTCCGTAGGGTAATTCAGCATGTTTCCAAAGCACCAATCGCTACATTGTAACATTGTGGAACAGCTGAGCACACAGCACAGCAGCAGCGGACTCAATACTGCACTGACTCAGGGCAGAACAGGCAGTTGCTACTTCATTAAAACTTGTTCAATGTGATAAATTAATGTTACTACAGTAGCTAGCTAGCTAACGTTAGCTAGCTAGCTTATTGAAGGAACATTGCATTTAGTGTTCCACTAACTGGTTAGCTTCTCTTTTGTTTCATATGAAGTGGCTGGCTCAAACGTAAATCATAGTCCTGAGACGTGATAGCCCGGTGTCTCATTGTGATATATCCGCTAGCCTCTGCATAACAACAAAAAACAAAAGAGCACAACCATCCGCGGGGGTCGCACAGCCCGAACGCGCACCTATCCTGAATTCCCAAGCTCTGGTACGTGTCCTCTATTTATTTGAATATGTTGACAGTTGGAGAAAATGCTTGAGCTATGCTGAGAATTCGAAAAGTATGAAAGCCAATGGTCCAATATTCTAGAACACTGCTGTGCGTACACATACACATTTTGGACTATGATAGACGCTTTAGAGCTAGCTAGCAAGCTAATGTAATGGACATGTTTTTGTGTACATTATCAAACGTCAGAAATACCGCTTCTTCAAGCACTAAACTCCTTAGCTAGAGGTAAAATTGTGTGACTAAGGCCTCCTCGGCAAAAATTCCACATGAATTACAGATTTCTTGATTTATGTTGACTTATTCAGACAATTTTTTGAGAGCGAAGTGTTGTTGTTGCTAGGTAACATGCTGAGATTCATGGGAAGAAGCTGCCAAAGGCACCGAGTCGGCACAGGATGCCCACTCGATAAAGAGGGCTTCCGAAGGGCGCAGTGGAGCGCTCGATGACTTGAGAACTAGTGTTTGAGATTGACTCGATTGACTCATGAACACGCATATCGAGTAATCAAGTGCTCAAAGTGCTCAAAGTTCTCAAAGTGCTCGGTTTGAGATCTACTAGTTTGCATACCAATACTGAACCAATACACCGAGAACCGTTCAAGGCATAATGGGAGTTATTCATGTAGCTAAAGCAGAAGAGACACAAAGAAGACAAGAAAGACGGAGCTGTGCTGGGATCATTGTTCTCTTTTCATTTGTTAATGAGTCTGAGCATTGGTTATTGATACAGCAGTCATATAAGGTGTCATTTTTAAACCATCCGAAATTACCACACAATGAAGGAGTTCAAATTATAAGTTGTTAATCAAGTACTGCTGTTGAGTCTAGTGCTGGTGTGTGTGTGTGTGTGTGTGTGTGTGTGTGTGTGTGTGTGTGTGTGTGTGTGTGTGTGTGTGTGTGTGTGTGTGTGTGTGTGTGTGTGTGTGTGTGTGTCAGGCTCAGGGCAGCACAGATCTGCACAGGTTGTGGTCTTGGTTGTTGATTGTTGAATGACAGACAGAGGTGGAGATTACATTACCTCTACAGCCCTTTACAGAGGAAGGCTGGGAATAAACCATTCAAGACTACTACACAGCAACTCATGCCACTCTTGACACTCTCTCCACTTCCTCTTTCTCTCCATTCTCACTTTATTCTTTCTCAGGAAGGTTACATTACCTTCTCTCTATGTTGTCTCTTTGCCCCTTTCACATTCTCTCTCTCCCTCTCTTTCCTCTCTGCCCCATCTCATTAAGTGTTTCCTTTGTTCGACCTACCCTCTCCTATCAAGGCCACATCTAAAACTTTTCATTTTTCTCTTTTGGACAAGGTTAACATCGTCATCGCTGTTTGTCTGCAATTAGAGATATTCATTTTATTTTCCAGCCTTCGCCTGATCAGAAAGCGTTAGTAAGGCAGCTTGAAAAGGCCAGAATATGTCACTTTAATATGGATAAGACGAGAGCTTGGAGATTAAGGAACAAGAGGTTGCTGAGTTGGCTAAAGTAATTGGTTATTTAGGGTTTTTGTATTGACATATGCACACACACACAACACACGCATACACGAATACAAGCAAACATGTGCACACACATGTGGACAGGAACACACACTGCAGGCTAACTTTCAGCACCTTCAAACCCAACATAATCAGAGACAGAGTGTGTTATGACTTCTCCCTCTCTGCTCATCCTCCTCTGCCTCTAGTTTCAGTATCTGAAAGATGAAACAACTTTTCCTCTGGAGGGAGTGGAGGGAGGCTGATGATCACTTAATTGGTTCTATTCTCTGTACCAGACACAGACTGAAATGTTTGATCTAACTTTGACTAAGAATCCTGAAAAGTAATTGGAAGGTAGCTTAGTGGTTAAGAGCGTTGTAGCAGTAACTGAAAGGTCGCTGGTTCTAATCCCCGAGCCGACTAGGTGAAAAATCTGTCGATGTGACCTTGAGCAAGGCACTTAACCCTAATTGCTCATGTAAGTTGCTGCTGCTCTTCAGTTATTTGCTTTTATATTTTTTACTTAACACTTTAAAATAAAATGAACTTTTAAAAATGCATTGTTGGTTAAGGGCTTGTAAGTAAGCATTTCACTGTAATGTCTACACCTGTTGTATTCGGCGCATGAGGCAAATACAATTTGATTTGATGATTATATAATGTTTGTATAAAGCATTCACCTGATCTTGATTTGTTCTTTAAAGGTTTCCATAATGTTTCATTAAGTTGTGGGAACAGTCTGGTAAGAACATTGTGGGGACATCACAAAAGATATGTTGCCAAAACACAAACGCTGTCCATTTGTGCAGATGATTCTACAATGTTTATTTTAGGGTGCAAAAAACATTAACCTGATGTTACAAGAACGTTCCCAAAACACATTTAGTCTGTTCTTTAACCCGTTGACGCGTACGAGCACACGGGTGTGATCATTCTACAGTGTTCCCTGCAACGTACGCTCAAACCAGTGTGATTAGAACACTTCATTAACACAATAGTCAGCGTTTGAGCTGGCCACACTGTTTTTTCACAGAAACATTTTGCACAAACAGTCTTTACAACTTTATGTCCTCAATGTGAGCAGTTTATTTTTGGATGCAGATGTTCAGACATTCACAGAAGTAACAACAGCATAACACAATTCCCATCCAAATTGGGAAATGTAGGCTACATTAGTCCTAGCGCTAACTGAAGAAAGAGTGAGCTAACTCAAGCGGACATATTTAGCTCTCGGGTGACAGAATCCATAATATGAATTAGCTAATAGCAAATGTTATTTACAATTCATCACATCACAGGTGAGCTCACCAGTGATCGAAATAATTGAGTAAAACACTTTCTAAAAGTGGGTAGAGTTTGTGCGCGCTGCCATGTTTGTTTTTCTGTGTCAACCAAAGATAAGAAGAGGTGAAAAGATGAGTTGGGTCTGTTTGCAGTATGTTGAAGGGGGTGTGTCGTCTACCATCATACCCTTCCCATCATTCACTTTCAGAAGTTTATTCGAAAGATGTGAACCATGCTTTCACCTTGTTTTGTTATAACGTCTTTATTCTGACAGACACCGAGAATGCATTGTATGATGTCAACAAACATGGCTCCACACATACAGTTGAAGTCGGAAGTTTACAAACACTTAGGTTGGAGTCATTAAACTCGTTTTTCAACCACTCCACACATTTCTTGTTAACAAACTATAGTTTTGGCAAGTCGGTTAGGACATCTACTTTGTGCATGGCACAAGTAATTTTTCCAACAATTGTTTACAGACAGATTATTTCACTTATAAGTCACTGTATCATATTTCCAGTGGGTCAGAAGTTTACATACACTAAGTTGACTGTGCCTTTAAAAATGATGTCATGGCTTTAGAAGCTTCTGATAGGCTAATTGACATCATTTGAATCAATTGGAGGTTTACCTGTGGATGTATTTCAAGGCCTATCTTCAAACTCAGCGCCTCTTTGCTTGACATCATGGGAAAATCAAAAGAAATCAGCCAAGACCTCAGAAAAAATAATTGTAGACCTCCACAAGTCTGGTATATCCTTGGGAGAAATGTCCAAACGCCTGAAGGTACCACATTCATCTGTACAAACAATAGTACGCAAGTATAAACACCATGGGACCACGCAGATGTCATACCGCTCAGGAAGGAGAAGCGTTCTGTCGCCTAGAGATTAACGTACTTTGGTGCGAAAAGTCCTATATCGACATAACCTGAATGGCCGCTCAGCAAGGAAGAAGCCAAACTAAAACCACCATAAAAAAGCCAGACTACGGTTTGCAACTGCACATGGGGACAAAGATCGTACTTTTTGGTGTGTCCTCTGGTCTGATGAAACAAAAATAGAACTGTTTGGCCATAATGACCATCGTTATGTTTGGAGGGAAAATGGGGTGGCTTGCAAGCCGAAGAACACCATCCCAACCGTGAAGCACGGGGTGGCAGCATCATGCTGTGGGGGTGCTTTGCTGCAGGAGGGATTGGTGCATTTCACAAAATAGATGGCATCATGAGGAAGAAAAATGATGTGGATATATTGAAGCAACATCTCAAGACATCAGTCAGGAAGTTAAAGCTTGGTTGCAAATGGGTCTTCCAAATGGACAATGATCCCAAGCATACTTCCAAAGTTGTGGCAAAATGGCTTAAGGACAACAGTCAAGGTATTGGAGTGGCCATCACAAAGCCCTGACCTCAATCCTATAGAAAATGTGTGGGCAGAACTGAAAAAGCGTGTGCGAGCAAGGAGGCCTACAAACCTGACTCAGTTACACCAGCTCTGTCAGGAGGAATTGGCCAAAATGCACCCAACTTATTGTGGGAATGTTTGACCCAAGTTAAACAATTGGAACAATTGATAAAATAAATAAAAGCTTAAATAAATCATTCTCTCTACTATTATTCTGACATTTCACATTCTTAAAAAAAGTTGTGATCCTAACTGACCTAAGACAGGGAATTTCTACTAGGATTAAATGTCAGGAATTGTGAAAAACAGAGTTTAAATGTATTTGGCTAAGGTGTATGTAAACTTCTGACTTCAACTGTAGCTGTTGTAAGATGAAACATAGCCAACAGTGATAGGTGTCAAAAAGTTCATTGTTCAAAGTTTCAAATACATTTTTGCAGATTGTGCAAAACGCATCCGTCAGAGGACTCCAATTTTGATACGGTAAAGCTTGACAACATTCAGCTGTTTTCAGGGGACCTGTATGAAAATGTATGCACTCACTAACTGTAAGTCGCTCTGGATAAGAGTGTCTGCTAAATGACTAAAATGTAAATCCCTACAACAGCTCTGTCAAGTGGTCGCATCGGGACAACAGTTGTTGACAACTATAGCATTGTAGCTAAGCCTAACCCTTAAACTCATTCTCCTAACCTGCTACATTAATTCACCTAACCTGCTGTATTAGTTATCCTAACATGCCATGTTAATTATCCTAACCTGCCATGTTCATTATCCTAACCTGCTATGCAAACAAACCATCTGTGGCAACAAATCATCAGTATCAACACACCGGCAGCCAATCTCACCCCTGGCACTCAGTCAGAGCCATTCAGTGTTGTTGTTTATGTATGTAGCAAGTGGGCTAAGCTGTAGCATTAGCAATATCTTTCAACAGGATACAACTCACAAAAGAGGAAATTCTGGCAATGAGTCTGAGTATGAAAGTGAGGAATCAGATTCTGACAGTGACAGTGAGGAGCTGCCCCCCAACCTTGTGGGCATTGAGAACCCTGAATCTGAGGACCCCTTACCCACCGAAGAAGTCCCAAGTCCCTCTGAAGATGCTGGTGGTGATGGATGCAGACCAACAGTGGGTGAAGTACAGGTCTGCGGAAGCTGGATGGCTGTCAGCCATTCCACCCCTCCTGGCCCTGCTGTTGGCTTTGATGAGTCCCAGTCTGGTGTGCAAAGCCCCTTGCCATCTCCATCTGAGGCAGATTGCTTGAAGCTGTTTCTGACAAAGGAGCTGGTGGGAGACATAGTGGAGGAGACCAATCTCTATGCCTTGGAGCTACAGGAGAAGAGAGAGCAAGGAGTGAGGGGGAAGCTCACTAAATGGATGAAAACCACAATTAGTGAAATGTATACCTTCCTGGTGACAGTCCTTCTCATGGGAATAGTAAAGAAGAATCCCATAAGTGGGAGGCAGGTAGCCTAATGGTTAAGAGCTTTGGGCCAGTAACTGAAAAGTTGCTGGTTCGAATCCCTAATCCAAGTAGGTGAAAAAAATCTGTTAATGTGCCCTTGTGCAAGGCACTTAACCCTAATTGCACCTGTAAGTCACTCTGGATAAGAGGGTATGCTAAAATGTAAAAAAAGAGTTGAATACTGGAGCACAGATCCTATGTTTGCAATTCCCTTCTTTGCTACTCTCTTTTCCCAAGACCGCTTCCTAGTTCTGCTGCGATGCCTGCATTTCGTCAAGAATGCTCCTGCTAACCTAAATGACCCCTTACACAAAATAAGAAATGTTCTTACCAGCCTGACATCAGCATTTGGTCTGGTCTTTGTGCCTTACAAGGACCTATGCATTGAAGAGTCCCTGATTTTATGGAAGGGCAGGCTGGTGTTCCATCAATACATTCTCTCCAAAAGGCACAGGTTTGGGGTCAAGTTCTTTGTTATGTGCGACGTGAAGACAAGATTTGTTCAGTATATTATAGTCTACACAGGGTCCACCACTGACATCCAACATTATGAGGGCCTTGGGGTGTCCGGGTCCCTGGTGATGACCATGCTGGCTCCTCTTTTCAGGAACGGCCACACTTCAATAAAATAGGCAACCATTACATATAGGCCTATGTTTTTTCTTGCAGTTTTTTTCTCTCTCCAGTAACACTGTAAATGAGTGTACATTCAAACTGTATGTTGCTAGCATACAAAAGCTGGCCTCAATCTTCGGCAATAAATATGTCCAGTTCCAGTTATGATGTTGGCAAATAGTGTTCAATACTGTTTGTGTGTGTGGTTTCTGAAAGTACAGAATAAAGATGAATTACTAATAATTATAATAAAATATCAGGATATAGCAATAAAACAATATTACAATGAAGTAACATAATAACACTGGTATAAAAATAATAAGTTACATTGACAACATGCCAATTATGAATGATATACATAAGAAACAGTAATAAACAGTAAATGAATAGCTGCATAAGGGCTCCACAGAGGGGCAGGGCATAGCAAAGTTATGCTAAACATGCTAAATGAATACACAGGCCATGGTCATGATGAGGCCAGGGCAGCTTCAAAGGATAAAACACAAGCTAATACTTATCTGACGCCATTAGTATTGTCTTACAGAGCTAATAGAAGAATGTAGCTACATAAGCACAATTGAGTATAACACCATAAAGGTTATGAAATTAGTACCTCTCATGTCTGCGGTTATAAAGGAATACACACAGAAAGAATAAGAATAAGATGTTTTACACAGAATAGATTATGCTCCATATATACAGTTGAAGTCGGAAGTTTACATACACCTTAGCCAAATACATTTAAACTCAGTATTTCACAATTCCTGACATTTAATCATAGTAAAAATTACCTGTTTTAGGTCAGTTAGGATCACCACTTTATTTTAAGAATGTGAAATGTCAGGTTTGTAGGCCTCCCTACTCACACACGCTTTTTCAGTTCTGTCCACAAATGTTCTATAGGTTTGAGGTCAGGGCTTTGTGATGGCCACTCCAATACCTTGACTTTGTTGTCCTTAAGCCATTTTGCCACAACTTTGGAAGTATGCTTGGGGTCATTGTACATTTGGAAGACCCATTTGCGACCAAGCTTTAACTTCCTGACTGATGTCTTGAGATGTTGCTTCAATATATCCACATAATTTTCCTTCCTCATGATGCCATCTATTTTGTGAAGTGCACCAGTCCCTCCTGCAGCAAAGCACCCCCACAGCATGATGCTGCCACCCCCTGTGCTTCACGGTTGGGATGGTGTTCTTCGGCTTGCAAGCAACCCCCTTTTTCCTCCAAACATAACGATGGTCATTATGGCCAAACAGTTCTATTTTTGTTTCATCAGACCAGAGGACATTTCTCCAAAAAGTACGATCTTTGTCCCCATGTGCAGTTGCAAACCGCAGTCTGGCTTTTTTATGGCATTTTTGGAGCAGTGGCTTCTTCTTTGCTGAGCGGCCTTTCAGGTTATGTCGATATAGGACTCGTTTTACTGTGGATATAAATACTTTTGTACCTGTTTCCTCCAGCATCTTCACAATGTCCTTTGCTGTTGTTCTGGGACTGATTTGCACTTTTCGCACCAAAGCACGTTCATCTCTAGGAGACAGAATGCGTCTCCTTCCTGAGCGGTTTGACTGCTGCGTGGTCCCATGGTGTTTATACTTGCGTATTATTGTTTGTACAGATGAACATGCTACCTTCAGGCGTTTGGATATTGCTCCCAAGGATGAACCAGACTTGTGGAGGTCTACAATTATTTTTCTGAGGTCTTGGCTGATTTCTTTTGATTTTCCGATGACATCAAGCAAAGAGGCACTGAGTTTGAAGGTAGGCCTTGAAATACATCCACAGGTACACCTCCAGTTGACTCAAATGATGTCAATTAGCCTATCAGAAGCTTCTAAAGCCATGACATCATTTTTTGGAATTTTCCAAGCTGTTTAAAGGCACAGTCAACTTAGTGTATGTAAACTTCTGACCCACTGGAATTGTGATACAGTGAATTAGAAGTGAAATAATCTGTCTGTAAACAATTGTTGGGAAAATAACTTGTGTCATGCACAAAGTAGATGTCCTAACCGACTTGCCAAAACTATAGTTTGTTAACATGAAAATTGTGGAGTGGTTGAAAAACGAGTTTTAATGACTCCAACCTAAGTGTATGTAAACTTCCAACTTCAACTGTAGCTACATACAGTGTGCCACAGTTGAAATGACATAGCACGATATACAGAAACTATTATGATAACGTAATAAGGCACTTACTTTGATAGGAACGCACACATGTCCCAAAGTCATTATTAGTAAGGAAAACAACAATGAAGAAAATGTGGGCGCTAGCCGGAAAATGCACCAGGCAGAAAAGGTTTGGGCAGGTTCTGTTCTGACTGGAGATGTGCAACTGTCTGTATACTTGACCTGGGGAAGCACTGGGGTAGTGCTTGGGCTCTCATCGAAGAGAGAAGTTTGTCCGGCTCATCTAGCTAATCCTTGCCTTACATTAGCATAGCATGCTTCAGACGTAAATTGTCCGCCACAGTACTTCTATGTGAATTAATGAGAAGGTGGAACGCACCTCATTTCAAACTGTTGATTGAAACTAAAACTGTTTGACAATTATTTGAAATAGCCTATAGATAATTAGCATGCCTTGGTTTTAGGGCTCTGTGGGTTAACTGTCCTGTTGCGTAACAATAAAATGTTGGAACAGTGATCGCATTATAACATCACGCGCATACAAAAACTCATGCTGAATGTTTCATTAGGTTGTGGGAACAGTCTGGTGGGAACATTGGATTGATGTGTATGACAGCGTGTTCCAGTTCCAATGTCCAGCAACTTCGCACAACAATTGAAGAGGAGTAGGACAACATTCCATAGGCCACAATTAATAGACTGATCAACTCTATGCGAAGGAGATGTTTTGCTCTGCATGAGGCAAATGGTGGTCACACCAGATACTTAGTGGTTTTCTGATCCATGCTCCTTTTTCTTTTTAAAGGTATCTGTGACCAACAGATGCATATCTGTATTCACAGTCATGTGAAATCCATAGATTAGGGCCTAATGAATTTACTGATTTCCTTATATGAACTGTTAAAATCTGTCATCAAGGCAAAGGGTGGCTATTTTAAGAATCTCAAATATAAAATATATTTGGATTTGCTTAACAATCTTTTGGTTACTACATGATTCCATATGTGTTATTTCATAGTTTTGATGTCTTTGCTATTATTCTACAATGTAGAAAATAGTAAAAATTAAGAAAAACCCTTGAATGAGTAGGTGTGTGCAAACTTTTGACTGGTACTGTATATATATGTGTTTCTTTACACTTGTGGGGGTGGTAGAGCGAAATGGAGAACAACATCGTGTTCATTAGAGTCTCATCTTTCCATAGAGTTTTGACGCTACAGCCGTTTTCGTGAGAAGACCGATTTTCGGGATGTCTCATGGTCTGACAAACACCGCTGTAGCTCGACCACCTTCCACCACAGATGTGGAAGATACAGTATCTCTAGCTTTAACTGACAGATTTTGTTGGGGATTTTGATTATGTTACTTATAATGACGCACCGGTGCGTCAATAGACTCTAGAGCAGATTGGAATACATACCCATCATGTTTCTCTCCAGATTTAATGGCAATTCGCATTTGAGGACTGTATTGACACGCAGTATTTTTATTTCATTCATAGGACATTTGAACAGCATTTAATCATATACTGAACAAAAATATAAAAGCAACATGCAACAATTTACAGTTCATAGAAAGAATTCAGTCAATTTCAATAAATAAATGTGGCCCTAATCTATGGATTTCTGCAATGTTCAGTTTCTAAACCAGGTCTTTTTATCCTCTCTGCCACCAGGGAAGTCATCTTACATCTTATTTTTCAGTGTATAGCCATGGCAGTATTGTCAATCAGGAATTCCATGCTTCCTTTTTAGCCTTCTTAAACATACAGTGGGGAGAACAAGTATTTGATACACTGCTGATTTTGCAGGTTTTCCTACTTACAAAGCATGTTGAGGTCTGTAATTTTTATCATAGGTACACTTCAACTGTGAGAGACGGAATCTAAAACAAAAATCCAGAAAATCACATTGTATGATTTTTAAGTAATTAATTTGCATTTTATTGCATGACATAAGTATTTGATGCATCAGAAAAGCAGAACTTAATATTTGGTACAGAAACCTTTGTTTGCAATTTCAGAGATCATACGTTTCCTGTAGGTCTTGACCAGGTTTGCACACACTGCAGCAGGGATTTTGGCCCACTCCTCCATACAGACCTTCTCCAGATCCTTCAGGTTTCGGGGCTGTCGCTGGGCAATACGGACTTTCAGCTCCCTCCAAAGATTTTATATTGGGTTCAGGTCTGGAGACTGGCTAGGCCACTCCAAGACCTTGAGATGCTTCTTACGGAGCTACTCCTTATTTGCCCTGGCTGTGTGTTTTGGGTCGTTGTCATGCTGGAAGACCCAGCCACGACCCATCTTCAATGCTCTTACTGAGGGAAGGAGGTTGTTGGCCAAGATCTCACCATACATGGCCCCTTCCATCCTCCCCTCAATACGGTGCAGTCGTCCTGTCCCCTTTGCAGAAAAGCATCCCCAAAGAATGATGTTTCCACCTCCATGCTTCACGGTTGGGATGGTGTTCTTGGGGTTGTACTCATCCTTCTTCTTCCTCCAAACACGGCGAGTGGAGTTTAGACCAAAAAGCTCTATTTTTGTCTCATCAGACCACATGACCTTCTCCCATTCCTCCTCTGGATCATCCAGATGGTCATTGGCAAACTTCAGACGGGCCTGGACATGCGCTGGCTTGAGCAGGGGGACCTTGCGTGCGCTGCAGGATTTTAATCCATGATGGCGTAGTGTGTTACTAATGGTTTTCTTTGAGACTGTGGTCCCAGCTCTCTTCAGGTCATTGACCAGGTCCTGCCGTGTAGTTCTGGGCTGATCCCTCACTTTCCTCATGATCATTGATGCCCCACGAGGTGAGATCTTGCATGGAGCCCCAGACCGAGGGTGATTGACCGTCATCTTGAACTTCTTCAATTTTCTAATAATTGCGCCAACAGTTGTTGCCTTCTCACCAAGCTGCTTGCCTATTGTCCTGTAGCCCATCCCAGCCTTGTGCAGGTTTACAATTTTATCCCTGATGTCCTTACACAGCTCTCTGGTCTTGGCCATTGTGGAGAGGTTGGAGTCTGTTTGATTGAGTGTGTCTTTTATACAGGTAACGAGTTCAAACAGGTGCAGTTAATACAGGTAATGAGTGGGGAACAGGAGGGCTTCTTAAAGAAAAACTAACAGGTCTGTGAGCGCTGGAATTCTTACTGGTTGGTAGGTGATCAAATACTTATGTCATGCAATAAAATGCAAATGAATTACTTAAAAATCATACAATGTGATTTTCTGGATTTTTGTTTTAGATTCCGTCTCTCACAGTTGAAGTGTACCTATGATAAAAATTACAGACCTCTACATGCTTTGTAAGTAGGAAAACCTGAAAAATCAGCAGTGTATCAAATACTTGTTCTCCCCACTGTAACTATCTGAGGGAAATACTGGTAACTGGGTTATTGAACAGTACATTTTTACACAATGTTTTATTTTTGCTCAAGGACGCCCGCCTCACAAGACTTATCTGAAGGTAGATAAAAAAAATTATGCAAGTATACAGTGTATGGAAGTAGTTTATTGCCTCTGTTTTCCATGTATGAATCTGTTATTTATGCGTTTCTATGGGCTAAAAGCAGTAAGGCCAAATTCAATGTTTCATCAAATAATACTTTATTTTATTTTATTTATACCTAAAGGGGTCCTAAAATTCAGAATCAAATAGGCAAATGATCTTAAAACAATTCCGTAGCTTAGTACACTTTTTTTTTAATGGTTTTGAATGTTTTTACGATGTTATCGTCTTAATGTTAGATAAAACCCTAACTAGAACTTAATTGGAATCTTAGCTAATGTTCTGGAAATGTTCCTGGTTTGCTGGGTGGCCACAACCCATTCCTTGGCACAGAAGGGACTGTTGTTGACAACTCAACAATGGGCCATGGCTCAACATTAGTTAATTGTGGTTTAGAGAACCATGGCTTGGTGGGCTTTTGCATGAGACAAAACATTTCAGAAATGTGTGTCTCTGGATCTAGTGCCTTAGGCCAGTTTGAAAAGAGGAAATATAAACTTTTAGAGGAGAGTGACTCACATGGAGGCCTCAAGCTTAGAGGATATTGCTGTGTGTATCTTTGATCTATTAGTCTGGTTTTTCTGACACATCAGCATTCCTCTTCCTGGGGGAAGAAGCCTAGATTCAGTTTTCTTTTTCTTTTGGCAAATTTTTTATTTTTTTTTTGTCTCAGACTTGTACAGTACTCCTACAAAAAAAACATCTGCATTGTAATTGTGTCTATGCTATTCATACTTGTCTTCCATTATGCTTTGCTCTCCCCAGAACTATGCTCTGCTCTCCCCAGCTTTGAGCCTCTGCGTTCAGCTGGTGTTTATGGAGGGTGGCTGTGCCCTCCTGGTGCCGTCATCCATCATGCTACAGAATCACCACCTCCATTCAGTTGATACAATGAGCCTGATTGCAGCTGCAGCCGCAGCCGGGTCCACTGGGCTGATGGAGAACCGGTCCTGACCGGAGAGAAAGAGAGAGAGGGGGAGAAAGAGGGAGGGAGAGAGGGAGAGAGAGAGAGATAGTTCACCCCTACAGCACTCAACTTCACTTTGTGCTTTTTGGCTGATTGTCAAGATAATGTGCCTATACTGTATTTTTTCTCTTTGTCCTCTTTTCTTATTTATTGAGGGATGGAGAGGAGGGAGGTAGGAGGAGGGGGGGGGGCGTGGCTTGAGGCTGGCGGGAGGAGAGAGCTAGGGGTAGATCTTGACGGAAATCGCGGGCACATGAAAAGTTTAGCGAGAGGGGGGAGGGAGGAGGGGGAGGAGGGAGGGTTGTTTGTTGGCTGGGTTGCGGTAGCGTGAGGGCATTCGGGACGGTGGGAGGGAGGGAGAGATTGCGTTGGGAGAGCGTGCGGGATGGAGGGCTCCTCAGCTCGCTCTCGCTTAGTCGCTATCATCTCTCTCTCTTCTCTATATTTCTCGCATCTTCTCTCTCTCCTCTTTCTCTTCTCTTCTCTCTCTCTCATTCTCTCTCGATATTGTGCTCTCTATTACTCACACGCCCAAGCACACTCACACACAGTTATTTACTGAAAAATGTATCACATTGATTTCTGGTGCCTTGCAGATTTCACCAGCATATCACTTCAGATGTTCTTTTTAATGCACTGTTAAGGACATCAGTGCAACCAACCAAGAGCCCTCGTTTTTAGTGGACTAATCTTGGTTAACTCAGAACTAAAGTCTTGCGTAATTGTTCTGGTTTCATCCGTGTTAAGAGAAGGGATCAAGAGATGCTAGAACAAAGAGTGAAACCGGAACGAGGAGCTCCACCCTCTGTCTTTGCAAGTTACGGGCCGAATTTCCCCTCCCCTTCAGAAATTCGATTGATGCTAACATCTGCGAAATCGTAGTTTGTCCAAATAACCAGTGACGAAAAACCCAAACACCGGAACTACCACTGCTTGTTATCCCACACATCCCATTCCTTCCTGACACATACCATTCCTTCCCTATAGGCTATGTACATCATGGTGTTCTGTCCATTTAGGAACCACCTAAAGTAGTATAAATGTTATTTAGAGTCCTTGCTAGAGTCTCTCGCTCACAGGGTTGCATCCCTCACCGCCACGATGACCGGGGTAACCGTGGTTTGATGCTAATTGTGTAGAGGAGAGTGACTCCAGCTGAGAGAGAGGAAGAGCTGGCCTTCTTCATCCATTCTTGGTCTCCTTATCACAGTGATAGGACAGCGACTACCAAGGAGCGAGGTGGAAGAGAGGGCTGGAAGTCAAACAGACTTTCAAATTGATTTTTAGTTGATTTTTGTTTGTTACTTTCTGTTAATTAAAGCTGCACGTGCACATGCACGCACACACGGCCACGGCCATGGCCGCACACACACACGCACTTAACTGACACACTACGATAGCTTTGGGCACAATCTCTAAACACAAGCTGTCTAGCAACCCTCCCTCCCAGCACTGAGCACTCTGCCACAGCTCTACAGTTAGGCCTAATGGACAGTAATTACCATACTGACAATATGTCTCATTATTATGTGGGTTGATGAAAAACAGTAATGTAGGCCAGAACTTTGTCATTAAATAAGCAGAGACAGAGAAAAACTGATATCATTAGCAGGAGTTTACACATGGAGCTCTGCTCTAACAGCCAGGGAAGGACACAGCACAGCAGGACAAATGGCTAGCTCATGTGTTCACACTCTTCTCTTCTCTTCTCTTCTCTTCTCTTCTCTTCTCTTCTCTTCTCTTCTCTTCTCTTCTCTTCTCTTCTCTTCTCTTCTCTTCTCTTCTCTTCTCTTCTCTTCTTATCTCCTCTCCCTTTCCTCTCCTCTCCCTTTCCTCTCCTCTCCCTCTCCTACCTCTCATTAGGGTTATATTCAGCCTCCTGCCATCAAAACCAATTACAGGAACAGTCTGCCAGTGCGTTTTCCCATGAGCTTCTGCTTTCAGGTGTACCTGAGACTCCCAATCAGATCGTAGGAAGACCAGGGGCGTTTAGTCCTGAGGAACAAGGGAGATAAAGCATGGATGAGTGGAGCTGCTTAGTGGAGAGAGACAGATTAGAAGGAGATATAAAGAGTTAATAGAGAGAAAGAGGGAGAGAGAGTGCAAGAGGGAGAGAGAGTAAATAGATATAGAGAGAAAGAAAGAGAGAGAGAGGAGATGGAGTGGACCATCCTAATGCACAGATAATGAAATGATGGAGAGAGAGGGGTGTGAACAGTGGGACTCATAGAAAGAGTAATGACAGTGTGTTTGGCTGGTTCCTTCATGAAATCTATCATGGTTCCCCAGAGACACTAACCTCTATTTAACCAGAAGAGCTAACAGGGAGGCCAGGGACCACTAACCTATAATTAAAATAAGACAGATTGTGGGAGAGAACAAAGGAAGATGGAAGTAGTGCACTACTCAAACGGAGAACAGGGGTGACAACTAGTGTTCTTTGTTTCTGGGTTCTGTGGATGTTGCATTGAAGCTCAGTACTGTTTGTCGGCTCATTAAAACTCTCTAGCCTTTTTTTCTGTTTCTTTGTGTTATTGATTCCCCTGAGATTCCAGGTGATGAACACCATCTAACAATACAGTATGTTTCATTAGCATTGGCATGAATAGGTTGTACTCCCCGCTCTTCTATCATTCCTGTCTTCCAACTTCTTGTGCTACTTCGACTGATCATTGTTCCTCTTCTCTTTCAACTTATTGTCTTGCTTGGTTCCTTAGTTTCTCTTCCACCAGGTCACTTTCCCATTCTCAGCTCCTAACCTTTTTATTTGTATCCCTTTCTCTCTCTCTTTCTCGCTCTCTCCGCCCCCCTCTCTCTCTCTACCCCTCTGTCTCTCCATCTCTCCTTTCCTCTCTCCAGGCATGGCTGACAGAGATCCATGAGTACGCTCAGCAGGATGTGGTGCTAATGCTGCTGGGGAATAAGGTCAGCCCTCCCACTGGAAGGACAGATTAATGGATGGATAATAAGTGCATTACTATGAATTGAGAGAGAGAAGAAAGAGGTAGATAGGGAAGGATGGATGGATGGATGATGAGTGTATTACTATGAATTGAGAAAGGGAGAAAGAAAGAGGTGCATTCAGAAAGTATTCAGACCCCTTGACTTTATCCACATTTTGTTACGTTGCAGCCTTAATTATAAAATTGATTAAATCGTTTTTCCCCCTCATAATGACAAAGCAACATTTATAAAAAATAAATAGACCCTTTACTCAGGACTTTGTTGAAGCACCTTTGGCAGCGATACAGCCTCGAGTCTTCTTGGGTATGACGCTACAAGCTTGATACACCTGTATTTGGGGAGTTTCTCCCATTCTTCTCTGCAGATCCTCTCAAGCTATGTCAGGTTGGATGGGGAGCGTCTCTGCACAGCTATTTTCAGGTCATTCCAGAGATGTTCGATCAGGTTCAAGTCCAGGCTCTGGCTGGGCCACTCAAGGACATTCAGAGACTTGTCCCAAAGCCACTCCTGCGTTGTCTTGGCTGTGTGCTTAGGGTCGTTGTCCTGTTGGAAGCTGAACTTTTGCCCTAGTCTAAGGTCCTGAGCTCTCTGGAGCATGTTTTCATCAAGGATATCTCTGTACATTGCTCCATTCATTTTCTCTCGATCCTGACTAGTCTCCCAGTCCCAGCCGCTGAAAAACATCCCCACAGCATGAAACTGCCACCACCATGCTTCACCGTAGAGATGATGCTAGGTTTCCTCCAGACGTGACACTTGGCATTCAGGCCAAAGAGTTCAATCTTGGTTTCATCAGACAAGATAATCTTGTTTCTCATGGTCTGAGAGTCTTTAGGTGCCTTTTGGCAAACTCCAGGTGGGCTGTCATGTGCCTTTTACTGAGGAGTGGCTTCTGTCTGGCCACTCTACCATAAAGGCCTGATTGGTGGAGTGATGCAGAGATGGTTGTCCTTCTGGAAGGTTCTCCCAGAGAAACTCTGGAGCTCTGTCAGAGTGACCATCGGGTTCTTGGTCACCTCCCTGACCAAGACCCTTCTCCCCCGATTGCTCAGTTTGGCCAGCTCTAGGAAGAGTCTTGGTGGTTCCAAACTTCTTTCATTTAAGATGATGGAGGCCACTGTATTCTTGGGGACCTTCAATGCTGCAGAAATGTTTTCGTACCTTTCCCCAGATCTGTGCCTCGACACAATCCTGTCTCGGAACTCTACAGACAATTCCATCGACCTCATGGCTTGGTTTTTGCACTGACATGCACTGTCAACTGTGGGACTTTATATAGACAGGTGTGTGCCTTTCCAAATCATGTCCAATCAATTGAATTTACCACAGGTGGACTCCAATCAAGTTGTAGAAACATCTCAAGGATGATCAATGGAAACAGGATGCACCTGAGCTCAATTTCGAGTCTCATAGCAAAGGTTCTGAATACTTATGTAAATAAGGTATTTCTGTTTTTTATTTTGTATGACATTTCTAAAAACCTGTTTTCGCTTTGTCATTATGGGGTATTGTGTGTTTATAAAAATAAATAAAAATTTAGAATAAGGCTGTAACGTAACAAAAGTCAAAGGGCTCTGAATACTTTCCGAATGCACTGTATTTGTGTCACTGCATGCAGAAAATAAAACAGAGGACTGTGTTAGTGTAAGTAGATGATGAAAGAGAGAATAGATGAAAGAAGATCATGTTTTCTGGAGCTTTTTGTGATCTCTTACAGGCTGATGTGACACACGAGAGAGTGGTGAAGAGAGAGGAGGGAGAGAAACTGGCCAAGGTGAGCTGTAATGAACAAAGAAAATACACAGAAACTCCCAATCACACACCCAGTATTGACCCTTTTGATGTCCAGGTTTCCATCTATTTTAGTCCGCACAGACACATGAATCCCCACTAAAACAGTCTGGGTGTGTCTTGATCTCTCTCATTAGGTATTCATAGGAGCACCTTCTGTTTTTATTGTTTGGAGTCTCTGAAGTGTGTTCGCTAACTCAATTAGCAACATCAGTACGCTCTGATGAGTTCCCAGACTTAAAACAGTAAATTACTGTACATGGTTTTAAGGGAGATGGACGTCCGATGCCCTTGTTATTGTCAGGCTGTGTAATAATAACGATATAAAAAATTCCAGAGAAACCTCCTATATCTCTCTCACACACACACACACACACACACCAGGTACCTTATGCACTAAAACTTAGAGGACTCTCGCTCTCCCCTGTGCAGGTGTTTGGGGTGCCCTTCATGGAGACCAGTGCTAAGTCTGGCCTGAATGTGGAGCTGGCATTCACTGCTGTGGCCAAGTGAGTAGGATGTTTACCAGTGCTGCGTTCTTTAGAGATGACATGTCAATCAATGCTTTTTGTTTTGTCATGCATGTGATTATGAAATAAAAACACAGAATCAAGATAGCCTCTGCAGTAAAAATGCTATGTGAGATTGAATCTCCCTATGTCTCCGCCCTCTGTCTTTCTCTCAGAGAGCTGAAGCACAGGTCGATGAAGGAGCCTGACGAACCAAAGTTTCAACTTCAGGATTATGTCAACAAGGAGATGAATAGTGCTGGCTGCTGCCACTCATAAACCTGTCTTCTAAGTGTGTGTGTATGTATGTGTCACAGGAGGTTGGTGACACCTTAATTGGGGAGGACGGGCTCATGGTAATGGCTGGAGCGGAATAGGTGGAATGGTATCAAATACATCAAACACATGGTTTCCATGTTGTTTGATGCCATTCCATTTGCTCTGTTCCAAACGTTATTATGAGCCGTTCTCCCCTCAGCAGCCTCCACTGGTGTGTGTGTGTGGGTGTGTCTGGTGTGTGTGTGTGGGTGTGTGTATGTCTACCGGTATGTCTTCTGACTTGTGTTTCTGTGTCATTTTCCTCATGCATGTTGGTGCAAGTGCACTGTATGTATGAGTATGTGTATGAGTGATACATTTAAGTTTTAACAGTGGTGGGTGTGAATGTATGTTGTATGAGTAGATACATTTAGCATTGTCTTCTGCCCCCTACTGTATGACAAAAGGATGACACAAGTTCATTGCATAGATACATTAAGAATCACAGTCTGTCAGCCTATTTGTGAAACTCATTCAGTAAAGACCATCAAACAAAGTAGACATCAAACATCAACCTATCAAATTACACCCACTATATTAAGGTTACCGGTCGAGTATTTCAAGTTAGAGTACCTCTGTGTCATCATCCACCTTCTCGGATGATTTCTCTTCCTGTTGATATTTTGTTTCTTCATCAGGGCCGAGGACACAATGTCACTTATGCCTGGAGCCAGCCCTGGTCCTCATCCAAGTCATCCCCCACTCAACTGCAGCTCCCTCCTGACCCACCTCTTCTTGCATCTGTGAATGTTTCTAAACCCCATTTGTAGCTTTCACTGTCTCCTCATTGTAATTCCTCGTTTGGATTCATCATTCATGATCCACTGTAGTCATTTTGTGCAATATTACTAAGAATGTAGGTGGTGTATATATTTAAATGAAATGTATAATCTGGAGCTTTATAGTTTGCATTACTTGTAAATGGTTGTCTTGTTGATGCCGATTTGAAAATGACATCAAGTGATGTAGAAAATCTAGAGATAGTAAAGTAGCAGAAATAGAAACTGTGGGCTGCTTATGCAATTCAAATGTGTATTGAAGCACTATAATATCAATATGGACTGCCATAACACTCTATGAAAGGGTTTGTTTGAATGTTGTTGTATGTGTTTCTGTTGTACAGGGTGTATAACATCATGTTATATTGATATTCTAGAGGCAAAACCTCTGTCCTGTATTTTAATACAGTGTTGTTCAGTATACCTACTTTATTTCAGAAATGTTATCATTTCTCAATATCTTTCTTGTCAGGACCGTGGTATTTTGAGGAGTTGCACTCCACAAATCTGACCTTCGTATCAATTTACAACACTTTTTAGTTCACTAGATTCATAATTCTGGATGTATAAATAGAAATGTATGTAATTGCCTAACGTAAATTATATAGAGTTTCATACTGGTTTTTGTTCATGTTTAACTGAAATACTATAATGGTTGATGAAAGAATTTTGATGGAATATTGAATTATGATGTATGGATGCATGCATACCCACCAAGACATGCCACCAGAGGTCACCAGAACAGACTATGGGAGGCGCACAGTCCTATACAGCGCCATGGCTACATGGAACTCTATTCCACATCAGGTAACTGATGCAAGCTGTAGAATCAGATTTGAACAAATATAAAAATACACCTTATCGAACAGCGGGGACTGTGAAGAGACACACACACACAGGCACGCATACATATACACACGCTAACACGTACTCTACACACACGTACACATGGATTCTGTATTGTAGATTTTTTACACCATAGAGTCGGCTCTGCTCTGATCTTATATATTATTTAGGGTTATGAAAGTATTTATGAATAATAATTAAAAACAGGTTTGGAGAGACTTTACTCACAAACAATATATCGGTGAATAAAAAATACAGTGGTATGATTCATCCTGAAAATTGCCATATTCAATTGTTCAATCCATAAAATATTGAAAGGTGAGAAAAGTGTACAATAGGTGTTGACCAGTAGTCCTATAAATCTTCCCTAATAATCCTTACTATAATAATATATCATTTAGCAGACGCTTTTTTCCAAAGCGACTTACAGTCATGCGTGCATACATTTTTTTTGTGTATGGGTGGTCCCGAGGATCAAACCCACTACCTTGGCGTTACAAGCGCCATGCTCTACCAGCTGAGCTACAGAGGACCATCATGGAACTGTGATGACAATGGTCCAGTCGTGTGAACCGGGTGCCAGGCTCCAGGTTTAAACTGCTATGTATGGTCTGTGTTCCATAATGATTAAAATAGGTTACATGTTACAAATTATTACTTGAAATATGTTAGCCTAATTTAATTCACTATGTTACTTAGCCTAATATGATTCACTATTGCTAGCGATCCTCAGGAGAACAACCACACGAACATGACAGAGGAAAGAAATGTAAACTGTAAGGAAATGTATACTGAACAAAAATTTTTACGCAACATGTAAAGTGTTGGTCCCATGTATCATGAGCTGAAATAAAAGATCCCCAAAGTTTTCCATACGCACAAAAAGCTTATTTCTGTAAAATGTTGTGCACAAATTTGTTTACATCCCTGTTAGTGAGCATTTCTCCTTTGACAAGATAATCCATCCACCTGACAGGTGTGGCATATCAAGAAGCTGATAAACCGCATGATCATTACACAGGTGCACCTTGTACTGGGGACAAAAAAAGGCCACTCTAAAATGTGCAGTTTTGTCACACAGCACAATGCCACAGATGTCTCAAGTTTTGAGGGAGCGTGCAATTGGCATGCTGACTGCAAGAATGTCCACCACAGCTGTTGCCAGAGAATTGAATGTTCATTTCTCTACCATAAGGTCCTCCCGAATGGCACAGTGGTCTAAGGCACTGCATCACAGTGCTAGCTGTGCCACTAGAGATATTGGTTCGAATCCAGGCTCTGTCGTAGCCTGCCGCGACTGGGAGACTCATGCAGTGGCACACAATTGTCCCAGCTTCGTCCAGGGTAGGGGAGGGAATGGCCGGCAGGGATGTAATTCAGTTGGTAGAGCATGGCATTTGCAACGCCAGGGTTGTGGGTTCGATTCCAGTATAAAAAAGAAAAATGTATTCACTTACTGGAAGTTGCTCTGGATAAGAGTGTCTGCAAAATAATGTAAATGTATAAGCCACCTCCAACGTCATTTTAGAGAATTTGGCAGTTCCTCCAACCAGCCTCACAACCGCAGACCACGTGTAACCATGCCAGCCCAGGACCTTCACATCCGGCTTCTTCACCTGCAGGATCATCTGAGACCAGCCACGCGGACAGCTGATGTATTTCTGTCTGTAATAAAGCCCTTTCTGATTGGCTAGGCCTGGCTCCCCAGTGGGTGGACCTGGCTCCCTTGTGGGTGAGCCTATGCCCTCCCAGGCCCACCCATGGCTGCACCCCTGCCCAGTCATGTGAAATCCATAGATTAGGGCCTAATGAATTTATTTGAATTGACTGATTTCCTTATATGAACTGTAACTCAGTAAAATCTTTGAAATTGTTGCATGTTGAGTTTATATTTTTGTTCTTTATATGTTGGTATAACTGACAGGGGCTACAGATAGTGGCTAATATTTAACACGATACAAATTGTCTAAAGAAATACAGTGAAAAGTCCAGGCATATAATCAAAACAATTTAGAAATCATAAATCAACTCGGTAGGTTTGGTGCTATGCTGTCATTTGTGCATGGCTACAGAAGCCTGTAGCTTGGGTCTCCACATTTCATATCTGCAAGTTATAAGGCCAGCATTTCATAAACTTCACTGTGGAAAAGGTGATATGTTGATATGCTTCAATTTGCTGCCATGTGACTGATTTCACATTTGTCTCCAGCAATCTTATGGTAAAATAGATACAAAACAATTGTAATTGATATTTACAATCCCCTTATCCAAACAGCTTACTCATTTACCTAGCTCTTATCAATAGTGCTTATCAATTTGTAAATTACAGTGCATGGAGAACGATGTTATTTCTATTGGAAAAAATAAAGTAGGTGTTGTTCCACTTTGAACCGACAGGTTGTTCGACTTTATTCATTGTTTCATCACAGGTAAAGGTGGTGGAATTATGAGGTAATTAAGTTAAGGTCAGAATACGGTGTATCTGTAGACACACCTCTGCCACACCTTCATTTCTTTGATCTTCACCCAAAACTAATAGTGGGTGAATAGCATGTTATTCTCATGCTTAAGTTCAAGGTCAGTATACACGTAGTGAGAAAGGTACATGAAAAGGGAATTACGTTCCATTTACGCATGCTTAATTCAGGTCGCAATTCCCCCCGTGCTACATACTGCTACTGCACTGCCCAACACCACACTAACACAATCACATTAACCTCGTAACCTCTGACACTTTTTTTCAATTTTCGCCTAAAATGACATACCCAATTCTAACTGCCTGTAGCTCAGGACCTGAAGCAAGGATATGCATATTCTTGACACCATTTGAAAGGAAACACTTTGAAGTTTGTGGAAATGTGAAATTGATGTAGGAGAATATAACACAGTAGATCTGGTAAAAGATAATATAATCAAAAAAACATGAGTTTTCTATTTATGTTTTTGTTCCATCATCTTTTAAACGCAAGAGAAAGGCCACAATATAATATTGCAGTTTAGGCGCAATTTATATTTTGGCCACTAGATAGCAGCAGTGTGTTTGGACTATTTTGGACTATATTGTTTCAAGTCTGCCCAGATGTGCCGAATTGGTCATATGATACATTTTCACTACAGAGAACTACATAACTACAGAGAACATACAAAAATAATATGGTAATAGAAAATGTAAGTTTACACACTCCCAGAAATATCATACATGATGGATCATTAGCTTATACACTAACTTTCACACATCTAGATGGCCGGGCGTGGTGGTTGTGGAGACAGCAAGGGTTCAAACTGTAGAACCCAGTTCCTACATTTGAATATAAAAATGGATTATATCAAACAAAACTATGCTACATTTTACCTCAAGATGACTGAATGTAAGTACATTATTTACCTTCAGATGTGAATGTATCAAACCAGTTGCCGTGATACATTTTTTGTTGTTGTGCACTCTCCTCAAACAATAGCATGGTATGTTTTCACTGTAATAGCTACTGTAAATTGGACAGTGCCGTTTTTCACTGAGGTGAGTGAGGAAGCTCAATACAAGGTGGTGCGCGGCGGTTGTAGCATTAGAGTTATCAGTGGGTGTTGACGAAAAGCGATG